CCACTTTGGGAGGACCGAGCATGGGTGGATCACGGAGGTCAGGACGGATCGAGACCATCCTGGCTACACAGTGGAAACCCGTCGTCTCTACTAAAATACAAAACACTAGCCGGGCGGATGGCGGTGGCTTCCTGCTGTAGTTCCCAGGCCTTACGTCGGGAGGCTGAGAGCATCACGAGAATGGGCGTTTGAGCCGGGGAGGCGGGAGGTTGCAGTGAGCGCCGAGGTCGCGCCGCACTGCACTCCAGCCTGGGGCGACAGAGCGAGGACTCCGTTCTCAAACACAAAACAACAAACAACAAACAAAACAGCCAGAGCCCAAAGCATGGGCACGTTCATGGAGGCTTGCCATGATGGCTCAATGATAAAATCCAGGCCTACTTCATTCTTTCCTTTTTTGGCCACTGCCACTGAGTCAGCAATTCTGCTAATTCCCCAGCCCCCAAAGAGACGGTGTCTCTTAATTTAAAAACTTACCTCTTGGAAGGTCAGATGGGCTATTGCCATTTTCTGGAGTGCCCCAAGACTAACAGGAAAATAAAAAGGTGGATACACAATGAGTCTACTTCCAGAGCTATCTCCCGAGAATCAGGAGGATTGCTGCCCAAACATGACTTTAGGCATTTAGTCCTCTAACTAACTTTATGCGGCCCGCAGGACATTAAATACCCATGCTCAGCTGCATCATGAAAACAGAAGAAACCGGAACACATTCAACACCCTCAACACATCCCAGTGACATCAAGAGAGTCTGGTTCCTACCTTTCTGGCCTCAGGATAATGACAGAATGTAGTACACCCTAAGTTCCAGGGAGTTACCAAAAACAGAGACAGCATTCTGGACAAATACAAAGATTAGAGAAGCACCTTAAATCTTTGGCCAGATGGATTGGTGAGATCCTTCTACTACACTTGGCAAGACTGGGAGAGGTAGTGAACTTTTTTTTTTTTTTTTTAAATGGGGTCTCAGCCGAGCGTGTGGCTCACACCTGTGATCCCAGCACTTTGGGAGGCTGAGGCGGGTGGATCTCCTGAGGTCAGGAGTTCAAGACCACCCTGGCCAACATCGTGAAACCCCGTCTCTTGCACCTCCAATTTACTCTCCAGAAGGGGCTTACAGCACACACTTCTAGTGGCTACTTAACAGTCTGGCTTCTACCAAATTTGTATCAGGGAGCTGATAGGGCAAATAAAACAGCCAGAGCCCAAGCATGGCACTTCATGAGGCTTCCATATGGCTCAATGATAAAATCCAGGCCTACTCATTCTTCCTTTGGCCATGCACTGAGTATCACAAGTTCTGTAACTCCCACCCAAGAGACTGTCTCTTTAAAAACTACTCTGGAAGTCAATGGGGCTTTGCATTTCTGAGTGGCCCCAAACTACAGAAAATAAAAAGGTGGATACACAATGAGTCTACTGGTTCTAAAGGAGGTTGAGACAATCTATTGCATG